TTCAGTTGATGCCTGTGAACATTTCACACTTTGTTGTGTGTAATATTACTTTTTCTATATTCGTTGCTTATCTGGCTCAAATATGGAAGAGAAATATGGCACAATTTGTTGTTTTTTCAGAGATTATCTTGTTGGTCAAATATGATTTAAACTGACTACAGAGATTATTGTCTAATCTTTAATGACAAGATTTTTGTTATGAATAATCATTGAAATTGTTTTTTGTTTTTTTATGCACACAACAAACACCATAGTCTTGTATACCAGCTGCTATAACGACATGAAACAAAAACAACCACAGAAATGATCTGTATCGACTGATATGGCTCATCAATAATCAATAATCAGCAATCAGCGGCAAAGAAGAGTGACTCTAAAAGTTATATTTGACTAATCATTGGATTTTGGGAATGTTTGTAAAACTAAATCGATTAAAAACATCACTTTAGACAGGTGGTGGGCATTTAATGAAAGAATAATTGAAAATAAAAAATGAATCAATACATATTTGAACAAAATCATTTGCTCTCATTAGAACCTTTTAGATTTTCAGTGTTTCAAACTATTTGATACAGAGCAGTCTTCAGCTGTGGTCTGTGTATTACAGGCTCAGTCGGCTCAGGGTGAAAAACCAAGAGTGTGTTTTAGTGTGTGTGATTTAGCCGGCATTAGAATGCTGTACGGCAGCCCCCTCCAGCCAGTGTGGGAATGAAACAGTAGGAGAAAAGACAAGATAAAAGGATAAGGAGCCCTGACAGTGAGCAGGTCCCCCCCTCTGTCTCTCCACTGACGGACTGAGCTCTGACAAAAGACTATCCAAGTGTAGGCCAGCCTCCAGCTGCCGACAAACGGATAGATTATTACCACATCAATCTGCTTTTACAGCCCGGCTCTCTGCCCTGTCATTATGCTCTGCATGTATTAATAACTCATTTTCCATTCATGAAATACCTGGCACTTGAATAGTGGATCATCTATGTATAGCAGCCTGTCTTATTGTTCCTCCCCCGTGCTCAGGCTGCTTCGCTGCATTCAGTTTTCCACAAAACCTGAAAAAGCCTCGACACAATGAATACTATTCTGCACATGAAGAAATTAGAATCGGTGACAATAAAGATAGGTCTTTCTCAAAAAGCAAGGATGGAAGTAACATGACGTACAACCAGTGGAGGGCCGTGCATTTTATACCTGGGCCTTCAGTGCTGTCCTGCTGCTGAAAAACCTCCTAACAACCTCATTATGAGGCGCAAGCTACGGTTATTTGTTTCTAGGGGTTTAATAACACACGTATTCGTATTAAACCATTTGGTACGAGGCTTACGAACCGAACAATACATTTGAATAATACTAGTGCATTTAGAATATGCAGAAGCTTAAATCGTGGGAAATATAATGTTTTCGGTGGACTGCGCTCACGTAGTAGACAACGGGCTGTGACCTCTGAACCCGGAACAAAACAAAACAAAACAAGAGACAGCTGAGGCACCGCACTTCTGGGAGGTTACGCTAAGCTACTCCGACGGCCGGCCCGCGGTAACTGTACATCTGTGTCATGTACACAACTGCTGTGTATAGGTAGGCACTGATGCGACATGTCTTTGGAAAGCTACGATTCTTGTGATTCGATTGATGCAAACCATTTCAAGACACAATCACAACAGCAGGTACAATCAACGCCTCTGTCAGACCACCAACTCACAAACAAACAGTTACAAAATCGAGGCAACTCACCGATGAAGCCTCATAATAATCCACCCATCAATAATATTCAGACAAAAACACTCTTGTTACATTGGCAAAGGTCCAGACGATCCAATCCAATAAAATATTCCATAAATACCCACGGACTGCTGTTGCATCATTTCAAATTAGTCGGCAGATATGCCTAATTATTTATGCATTTTCGAACGTAACTTCAGTTTGCATGTAAACAGAGACGCTCTCTGGGTCTCAAAATGGCAGCTGCACTCTGACCTTTTCATTTGACCTATTAGGAGCTTCCATGTCCTGTCTACAGCCTACAATAGCCAACGAGAGTCTGCGTTGAAGGAAAGTGCCCGCCCCTCTTCTTTCGTGTAACGCTCGAGCCAATTGCAACCGATCGTTCTGATGACTGACGGTTCGTATAGCCAATGAAATTTCAAAAATAATGATATGCAGCTTCTGGGGTTAGATTTAGAGGCAGAACGTGGATTTAGAGGCAGAACGTGGAAGTTACTGTGAAACCGCGAGTCAGGTCCCCATGTCCGTGCTTTAATCCAAAGTGCGGTTTTTAAAAGTTTTGGAGAACTTAGCAAGGTAAATAATGGTGAAATAACTTCTAGATAACTGTTTAGACATAAATAAGCTTTAGTTTGAATTATGAATACACATTTCTACACAGCTTAGGTATGTGACCATGGTTACTATGGGTTCCCATATGTTATTTTTTGGAATGTGCCTTGACATACCCTTAGAAAAACATGTCTAAAATATTCATTTTCTGTGGTATTGTTATCAAATTTGAACTTGGACTAGGTAAGGCTTCATGCTGTGGTCCCATTGTGTTTTCCAGCTATTAAGTCCAGCTATAGTCATCTGCAGGCATCTGTTTGCAGAAACATATTCAGGCGGAAATAAAAACCTTCTACTTCAGTGTGTTCAAACTTCTATTACTCAATGCCAGTAGCACTTACAGTGATTCTGACTGTGGGGGAAAAACCTTCAGAGTGTTACTTTTCAAAAGAGATCAAAACCATGCATGTACTCCAAACGGTTCAAGAACAGCTTTCAGTTTACTTTGGGTATGCCTTGGATAGGCCTTTTAGGCTCATTTTAATGGAGTGGTAACAGGTTTTAACAAACAATAACTCCACGCATGACGGGATGCTTCATAATTAACGGATAATGCATATAGTCCAAATCTATATAATTAACACAATGACAACAACAAACTCACAAGAACCAGTCACATATATTCATATGACAACAAAGCAACAAATCAATCTAGCAGACCTGCAGCAACACGCATTCTGCTACACACTCGAGGGCCATTCAGATATTAGATGTAAGAAAACAAACGCAGTTGACTTACCAAATGCTGATCACTTAAAGACAAACTCCACCTCCTTTCTTTGTTGACAAAGAGTTCAATGCCACGGTTAAATCCCAACTCAGAAATCCGTTTCTCCTCCTTCAGCCATTGAGTGTTAAAAAACAAAGCTAGATAAAATAATAATAATCTACACAAGCAACGTGCAAAAAATGTCATAATTTCTTCCATATCTTTCAATTTGAACTCTTACTACTCTGACTAAGCCTCTGCTGGCTACTTTAAGTTTCGTTTCACAATAGTCACGTGCTCGCCCACTGACCAATCACAGCACACGCTGCGCCTCACTGCAGCGCTGCTCCTTAAAACTGAGCTGCCCGTTAATGCTGACGTCATTATAGGCCAGCTAGCAGGCTCTGACACGTCAAAGAATACGCCCAACATGTCAAACTAAAGATCTGATTGGTTGAACACTATGACAATCAACAATATCATCCCCATTTACTTTAATCTGCACTGGCTGCAGGTGAGAGTGTGCAGGCCTCTGGCCTCTGTTCTTACCTAGAGACACAGAGGTGAAATCTGATTGGATAAAAGCTCTACTTAAAACAAGCTGCACTGGAAGCAGAGCAACTGAGGAAGACAGTAGCTGTGCAATGAGAACATAAGATAATGGGGAAAATATGTTTATAAATTATAATACATGTAGTGTATTTAAGAAAAATGATTAAATTATAAAATAGATATAACTTTGTGATTGTGTTTAGGCCAGCAGAGAAGGCCTTGCTGGCCCTGACCACTGCGTACAACATTTTGGGGAAAAACCTTCAACAATTTGGTGTACAGAGTCTCTTATTCTGACACCGGAGACCCTTGTTTGCATCCTTTGTCGATTGTAGTTTTCCCTGAGCTCAACTAAGTAGTTTTTTTGCATATAGTTGACTAAAGTTTGATTACAAAGGAGACAGAGCAGGACTCATACTTTGTTGTTTAGGACTTCATTAGTGGACTTCAGACAAATCATAGGTTTATTGTGGCCCTCAAGCACACAATGTAAACTACAGTCCAGATGTAAATCTACAACATCGTACTGCTAAATCACAGTAATCTAGTAGTTACAGTAAAATACAGTAATTCTACAATAACATACTGTTAAATTACAGTAATATACTGCCATAGCTACTATGAAGTCACAGTTTACTGCTGTGTTTTCACAATAATTTACCGTGAAAACATTACTGTACCTTACTGTGAAACCATTGTAATTACTAGCCAGTAATTTATTGGGATTTCACAGTCTAATAATTTACAGTGTAGCAACTGCTAATTCTGGTCAATGGCTTTTTAAATAGTAAAAAGCTTTTTCAGCACCATTTTGGGTCGAATCATCACACTGATGGTGACAGTGTGGCCAGCTGCAGGACTGAGACAAGATGAACAAACGGAGGATGGACTCTGTGTGGATTGTACGGACAGAACTTTTATAGTCATACCTTGTTTTTCATGTGCATTCTCAGTAAGGCTCCGATATTAAAGTGAAGGACGGACTGGTTCTTTTGGCTTCCCTTTATGTGGAGTAATTTGGTAAAAATGATTAATTATCCAGAAGTTTGGGCGTGGCTACCTTAGCTCGACCCTCTCCGAACTTGAGGCTTTGTAACAGCAGTCCACAAACCAATAAGTGAGGTCACAATGACTACATCCACTTGTTATAGATATACAGTCTATGGTTTAGAGCTTTTTAGGCGGGAATTAACTCTTAAATCAGCATGTTTCTTTGATCAACAAACGTTAACTGCTTGTACCAAACCAATGCCACATCAACTGGATGGATATGTCAGCTACTTGTAATTGGTGAGGATACGCTAACAACCCGAAATGATGTCATTGTGTCACATAAATAAACAACTGAAGGGAAAGATGGACAGACATATATGAAATGTTAAACACCATACAATTGAGGACTGACCTGGCAAGCATTATAGAGGAGCTGGTGCTCAAACTTCTTGATGCCCAGGATCTGCTGGAACATCTCGTACAGCTGGTCCTTGCTGAGGATGAGCTCGGAGGCGGCGCTGGCCGTCATTCTCTGCTGGTGCTTTCTGGGGTCCTCCTCACCTCGGTAGATGGTGTCGAACTTGGCGATCCAGGAGCTCAGCACTGTCTCTTTGCTCAGGCCGTCGATCTCAGGCAGACTGCGCACCCGCTTCTCTATGTGCTTCTTAAAAACCTCCCGAGAGTCGCTGGCCGAGCAGCCGCCGCTCTGCACCATCCGAGACACGCGGTCACTTTTCAGGAAGACCTGCAATCAATTTGTGAACTGACAGATTAGTTGTATTATTTTATCCAAAAGATTTCTGATTTACAAATAATGATTCATCAGGGAGGCTGGCTCTATGCTGGGGGTAGATCTTGAGAAAAGGATGCTGCTAAAGCTACAGCATCATGGGCAACCTCTCAACCCTTTCAGGTCTCACTGGAAGAACACAGTAACACCTCCAGCAACAGACTTCTAATACACTGGGTAGCTCAGCGCGTGAAACTATGGCGTTCCACTACAGTCGTAGTAAACACGTGGTTTACAGGTCCTTTATAAGCTATACAGTATTATAGGACTCACTCGCTATTATTGAATAGTTTCTTTCCACCCCACCTAGCACCGAGATGCCAGTGCCCCCGCCACCTACTTCAAGCAAACAGAGCAATTTGCCTTAGTCAAGGCACCTGGCACTGAGATGCCAGTGCCCTCCGCCACCTACTTCCAGCAACCACAGCAAGTTGCCGTAGCCGGGACACCTGGTAGCAACGCCAGTACCCTCCCGCCGTTTACTTTCAGCGACCACAGCAAGTTAACTTAGCCAGGGCACCTGGCACATCGGTTTCGCCAAATTCAACACTGTCGTTAAACCCATAAATCCTACCTTAATTTTGCCGATCATCGATCAGCAGAACTCATCGTTGATAACCTATCCTCCCAAGCCTACCAACTTTACACTCGTCAGCTTCAACGACCTGCGCAATAGGCAGGCAGCCCTGCTTTCTTAGGAGGGTTTCTTTTGGGGGTCTGCAAGGACCGGGAGCCGCGGTGGATCCTCAACTAAGCCTTCCCCAAACCGCTAAAGTCTCACCCTGGCTTAATCTCCCTCAACCATTCCTCAACGCTCCAAATAATCGATGAAAGTTCACCCTCGGCTGAGGCGGGGTCCTAGCTAGTGAATGGAGTATAAAACACATTTTGAGGACTTTGTCTCTGCTGACAGTGAGGTCTGTGGATTATCCAGGATCACAGGGACATCTATTTGTTTTGTCATTTTCATTTTTCAGTGTTGTGAAAACCAGAAATTGAATTAAATTAGCCCCCATTGTATTGAGAAATTCCAGAGACTTAATAAAACCTAGAAAAATCCAAATAAAACCGGTGCTTGGCGCCACTTGAGGTAAGTGAGTATTAAAACAACGTACCCTCCGGAGACTGACTTCCGGTATGCCCATGGAGTAGTTAGACGCAGAGTGAAACCGCGCTCCCAGATATATCGCAATATACCCACGGAAAAACTCGAAAATTCGATATTTATCAGTGAAAGGGGTAGATGAGTGGGAAAATAATCACCAGAAGCCATAAAAGAGAAGAAAAAATGAAAAAACTCAAGATAAAGGCTCCTCGGCGGCGAAAGCTAACAACATCGAAGCAGATCAAGCTAGCAATCAAAGTGAAGCAGCTGAAGGCCGGAGGAGCCCCGGAACGAGCATAGATCCCGGTGACATAATTAGGGCGATAAAGGAGCTATAAAATGATCTCAAGGGGGACAACGACTGCCTGAGACAGGACATTATTCACATGGGACAAGAAATTAACGGCAAACTTGACAAACTAGTGACGGAAATGCAGAGTCTGTCCGACCGAGCTGGAGAAGCGGAGACACGCGTGGAACAGGTGGAGGGTTGGGTGGTGGAGGCGAGCAAAAACTAACGGACTTAGAGTCCCGGTCCAGGAGAAACAACATGCGCCTCTTTGGAGTGCCAGAGGGAGAGGAGGGAAACTCGGTACCACAGTTCATCGTTAAACTCCTCAGAAGTGAGCTGCCATTACCACAAGAATTGGATTTGAAAATACAGCGGGCTCATCGGTCCGGGGTGCAGAAACCCGAAGCCCCACCGAGACCTATTATTATCAATTTCCAGGAGTTCACAACCAAGGACATGGTACTGAGAGAAGCTTGGAAAAAGGGAAAAATCCAACTGGGCAACAGAATTCTATACTTCGACCACGACTATGCGACTGAGATAGTCAAGAAACGCAGGGAATACAATGGGATAAACAAAGCGTTAAAGGAAAAGGGGATTCGTTTCCAAACACCATACACGAATATACGGATTCACTGGGATACAGGGACCCGAACTTACACTAGTGCACAAGAAGCGCAGCGGGAGCTGAAGAGACGCGGTTTTCCCGTGGAAGAGCGGGAGACTACCGAAGGAGAGAGCAACCTGGAAACACGGCTTCGTGATCTATTGGGATGGCAGCAGGCATCGGGTCGTCGGGAGAGAGGACCAGCTGCGGCCCAGAGAGCAAGGGATAAACTCCAGGAGTTCCAGAGGGGACGCATCGAGCAAACATGAACGGAGACGCAAGCTGCACGACCCGGTATGACTGTTACAATTCTGAGACTCTCAACAGGATTATGATATATTTGCATTTTGGCTTTATACTGATCACTATGTGTCTGGGAGTGACGGGTTCATTTTTTCATGGGTTACGTTGGACTCACAGGATGGTAGAGTTACCGCTGTTTGACTCACCAGCCATCCTTAATGCAGGGCCCTCTCCCAACGAGAGGCATCACCCTCGACCCACCAACGGGGTCACAGTTGAGGAGGAGCAAGAGCCTCCTTTTCGATTGGAGGTCTGTTTACTTTTGTGTTTCACAGTTGATGTTTTCATTCGGACTTTGTTTTGGGGGGCAACAATCTCATTTATTATTTGGTATATGTATGATAGGGTCACATAACTTGAGAATTATCTCAAGTATTATGTGAATGGTCTGAGTAATCCAGTCAAGAGGAGTAGAGTGCTAGCAAAAATTAAAAAGGATAATACACAAGTCATATTTCTACAAGAGACACACATGTCGAAACAAGAACATAATAAGCTGAAAAGGTTTGGGTACTTAAACTCTTATTTCAGCTCTTGTAAAAATAGTCGAAAAAGAGGAGTAGCTACTCTGATTTCCAACTCCCTTAACTTTGAACTGATTAAGGAAAAGGGAGACAAAGAGGGCAGATATATAATAATCAAAGGAAGGATAGATAACGTTCTGGTCACATTTGTTAATATATACGCCCCTCCAGAAAGTGATAGACAATTCTTTAAATTACTATTTGATACAATAATTTCTGAAAGTGAAGGAATTTTCGTCTGTGCTGGAGATTGGAACACAATTCTAAACTACTCTATCGATACGACAAGTACAAAAAGACATAAATCCCATCGGTCAAAAGACCTCAATACTTTAATTAAAGAGATAGGAATGTTCGACGTTTGGAGGAACCTCCACGCACTAGAAAAAGACTTTACTCACTATTCAGCTACTCATCAGGTGCACTCCAGATTAGACTATTTCCTAATGAATACTACAGACAGACATAGGGTGAAGGAGTGCTCAATAGGATCAGCAGATTTATCAGATCACAATGCAATCTATTAAACTATTTATTTGAATAACAGACCGAAGAGTACATTATGGAGACTAAATATTAGCATTTTAAATAATGAGACCACTCTAAATGAGATTAAGAAAGAAATTGGTGACTGCATAAAAGATAACAACAATGGCCTGGTAGGCCCAACCATCGTATGGGACACGGTTAAAGCAATAATGAGAGGGAGATTAATTTCAAGAACAGCATACTTAAATAAGATGAAGAGGACAAAATACGATGAATTAGAGAAAACATTGAGAAAACTAGAGAAACAACAACAAAAAGATGGGGACAAAGGATTGTCAAACCAGATAAAAGAACTAAACAAACAAATATTGAACATCTTGAATGACGAACTAGAAAAGAAATTGAGATTCACAAAACAAACTTTTTATGAATCGGGCCCAAAAGCAACAAAAATCTTAGCAGCACGTCTCAGGAAACAACAAATTATTAATTCAATACACAAGATCAGAGATCCTTTAACTAATAAGATAACCTACGAACCTGAAGAAATTCATAAAACTTTTAAAGATTACTACGAAACCTTATACGTACAGCCTAAGATTGTCAATGAAGATAACATTAAACAATACTTGTCATCATTAGATCTTCCTTCCATAGGAAAAATACAAAACGACGAATTAACTGCCCCATCACAAAAAAGAATTGGACTTGGCGATTAGTAAATTGAAAACAAATAAATGCCCAGGGAGTGACGGTTTTCTGAATGAATGGTACAAAATCTTTAAAGAAGACCTCGCCCCTGTATTGCTAGAATCCTTAAATTGGGCACTCAGCAAAGCTGAAGCACCACCATCATGGACAGAGGCCGTGATATCAGTCATCCCAAAAGAAGGTAAAAATAAAGAAGGTTGTTTATTTTACCTTCCAATTTCTATATTGAATGTAGATTATAAACTGTTTACATCTATAATCTCAAAAAGAATTGAACACTTTCTACCCGAATTAATAAATGAAGATCAGACAGGGTTTATAAAAGGTCGACAAACACAGAATAACATCAGACGAACCTTACACATTATAGAACAGGCTAACAAACAACATCTAAGTGCAGCTCTGGTCAGTCTCGATGCGGAAAAGGCATTTGATAGAGTCAGCTGGTCTTTTCTGTACAGAGTGCTAGAGAGGCTGGGTTTTAATAACCAATTCATTAGGTGCATACAATCTTTATATAGAGACCCAACCACTAGAATAAAGATCAATGGCCATCTGACAGGTAGTTTTAAGCTGTTTAGAGGCACTCGCCAGGGTTGCTGCCTTAGCCCCTCCCTCTTTGCAATATTCATAGCGCCTCTGGCTCAGGCTATCAGGCTAAAGAGCTGAAAGGGATCAATATAGCAAAGGAGGAACATATAATAGGACTTTTTGCAGATGACATTATTACCTATCTCCAAAATCCCAACTCAACAATTCCCAAACTTATGACAATTTTGGCTGACTATGGTCGGATGTCGGGCTATAAACTGAACATTACAAAAACACAGTTACTCTCTCTTAACTACATACCAAGTAAGGCAATTAGGCAGAAATATAAACTGAAGTGGGAAGCAAAATCAATAAAATACTTGGGAGTGCTAA